TTGCGGTCACGTAGGTTTGCAAAAAGCAGTCACATAAAAAATAACCTTTTAGAATCACCAACGCAATGTGATCACTAGGCCACCCCAATTCTCGATTTTTTTATCATTATGATAATAAAACACAATTTTTGTTTGTTTTTTTTTGTTTGTTTCTTTTTATTTTATTTTTTTTGCCCGGTCCCAAACGGCGCAGAGCAGCCTGCGGCCGCCCGACACTGTACCGTTGGCGACTCGGGTCGATCCATCATGGCTGCGGCCGCTTACCCTGCTTTTCAGTGCCTGCGCCTTGTGGTCCTCCTCCCTTTGGCTGCCCTGTTTATATAGAGCCATTGCCGCTCTCTAATATAGACTCTGCCAGGATGGGAAGGTGCTTTTCAGGCCTACGTCACCGCCTCTCCATTTAAACACCAGATCCGGCTTTAAATAGTGAGAGCTGCTGAGCGCGGGGCTGGGAGGTGCGTGCTCCCGAGGCGAGAGGCGCCGGCGTGCGGAGCTCAGTATATTTCCAGGCTCCCTTCACGGCGAAATTTCGCTCTGGAGCCGGGAGGCTGTTGTCACGGACCCGAGTGTGTTTTGCAGTGGCAGCTAGAGTGTACTGCCTTTGTTTGTAGTGGGAAGTAGGCCAGAATCGCAGCCTCGTTTTGTTCCTTTTCCCTTCCCTTTTATTTATAGAGTTTAATTTTAAATCGTTTTAGATCAGATAGGATGATTTTTTTTTTTAGCTTGGAAGAGACAGTCAATATTCTCGGCTTTAAAAAAAAATGCGTTGTACATTAAATGTTTCCCGAAGAGGATTTGAGTTTGGTAGTGTTTTCTTAGTTCCCAAGGTATGAAGCTTTTCAAATAGTGACTGGGCGGTCTGTGCTCACAATCTATTGATGTATTTGTAGAGTAAGTGAAGACATACAGCCTAAACTGAGTTTTAAGAGTTAAAGATTAAGTGATGGTTTTAATTTTACCAGCAGCTAACATGGTATCCAGTATAAAAATCCACCCAGCTTACCTAATATTGTGCCAAAAAATTAGTACCTTTTGAAAGGAACCTTCCAATTAATCACTTGGTAATGCTACATGCAGTTTCTAATTTGCCAGTTTCAAAGTTTAGGATACTGTGTTTTAAAAGTACAGATCTAAATTACCTTGTATGCGATAAAGATAAAAGTTGGCTCAAGTGGAGTTTAGAATTTAAGCATTTTCCTTTTTCCTTCAACAGTAGTGCTTCAGAAAGGTTAAGTTGTAGGCTAGTTGCTGAATGATTACATAGTAGACAAAGAACGAAATTTTGTGCCTTAGTGTTGGAATCTGTAAGGAAAAGGTTTTAGGGTGACTGATTTTTAGAAACATTAAAGTATCTGGTTTGCTGGAAATTTATCCTACCATTTTAAAATTACTTGGTCAATGTAGAGTTTAGTGGTCTAGCTTGAAGGTACAGAAGACCAGAGCAGGGGAAAAAGCCAAAGTCATTTTTGTATGATCAAATACTGATGAGACTGTTGGGTATGACCAGAAGATGACTAGTGAACAAAAAGTACACCAAAGTCTAAGAACTAGAAAGACTGTGAGATGGAACAGGTGTTAAATCAAGCATGGATAGTAGGAACCAGGTGGAACCATAATCTATTATTAACCATGATGTTAGACATTTTGGTCACAATCAAGGAAATTAGAACTGGAATTTGTGTGGACTGTCTGTCCATAAAGAACTTTGGTTTATGAACTACATTGCCCAGCCTTACACTTTTATAAACTATGTTGTCAGATTTAGTTTAATGAGGGTTAAATATGTGTTTTGTTTTGAAGACAGGGACTCTGTATATAGATCAGGCTGGCCTGGGACTCTGATATCCTCCTGTCTCTGCCTCCAGAGTGATAAGCCTGGCTTAGGATTTCAGTATCTTTTAAGTCACAATTTAAAATACATTTTAGATAGTTGGCCAAATGGCTTGTATTTAAGGATTAGATATTTTATTAAGGATTCTCAAAGCCTGTTAAAATTTTGAAATCAGTCTTTTATTGAATCTTATTTTTCCTTTAAAGCCTAAATTGTATAGATCTGTGATTGAAGATGTTATTAATGATGTACGAGACATTTTTCTGGATGATGGAGTGGATGAACAGGTCCTGATGGAACTAAAAACTGTGAGTTTGTCTCTTTTTAAAAGGATATTTTAGTAATAAGTAACTTTTCTAGAAGATGAATGTTTGACTTTAAGGAGAGACAGTATGGTATAGTGAAGGGTATTGGTTTAAACGAGCTGTGCCAGTCTGTACTTCCTCTAACTGGGTAGTAGGTAACTTAGGTTTCAGCTTCCTTCCCCGTAAGATAGGAATTGGTAGTACAGACTCATTGGGCAGTTGTTCTCAGGACTAAGTATAGAGAATACCTATCAAAATGCCTAACTGTAGCTTTACTTGTTTACATGCGATATTTTATGGTCCAGTTGCTTGACATGTTAATAACAGTATTTATTTTTTTTGTATTCTTACTATATTTGTATTCTACTTTTTTTGTTTGTTTGTTTTTTGAGACAGGGTTTCTCTGTATAGCCCTGGCTGTCGTGGAACTCACTCTGTAGACCAGGCTGGCCTCTGACTCAGAAATCTGCCTGTCTCTGCCTCCCAAGTGCTGGGATTAAAGGCATGCGCCACCACTGTCCGGCTTATATTTGTATTCTAAAATTTGTTTATGTTGGAGGGATTGAACAAATGGTTGATAAGAGAATGTAGGTACTAGAGTAAAATCCTTTACATATACTAAATGTTCCTTTATTATGTATTAAACACTAAGAGCTAGTATTTCCTCTTTAATTTATGCAGAAATACTTCGATTTTTTAAAATGGCATTTGTGTGGGCACTGGAGAGATGGCTCAGTGCTTAAGAGCTCTGGCTGTTCTTCCAGAGACACCATGATCGAGTCACAGCACTCACAGGTGCTCCCAGTGCTCTGTAAGTACCCAGGAGATGCCCTCTTTGACCTCCACAGGCATCAGTCAGACATTCATGTAGGCGGAGCATCTGGACACATACAGTGTTTGTGTTTCCTGGTGGTAGAATGACGTGAGAGTGAGGAGGAGTTTTGTACTCACTGGACTAAGTGCACAATTTGAAATTTTCATAGTTTATTATTCTTTCGTTTAAAAGTTGCATCTTGTATGGTTGGGGAAATGACTCATGGAGTAAGAGTGCTTGTTCTGAAATTAAGAGGACCTGAGTTCACATAACAGGCAGGTATGACCACATGTGCCTGTCACCCCAGTGTTTGGGGGATGGAGACTGTGGATCCCAGCAGCTTATTGATCAGCCTGAAACTCCAGGTTTTAGTGAGAGACCTGTCTCCAAACAAGGGTGGAGAGTGATAGAGGAAGACATTTAACATCCTTCTGAAGGTTCCACATGTACACATACAAAACTTGTCCACTGAGAAAAGTCATTAGCAGTTCAGCAACTTAAATGCACAGTGCTTACCACACCTTTCTTTTAGACTCTGTCATGTGCAGCAGGGTTCCTTTAGGTATATATACCGTGTGATGACTAAAGATGTGTGTACTCTGCTGCATAGTGAAATGTGCTAACAGTCAAAAGATCTGCATACTTTTTTTTAATGATTGTTGGAAGACCCACTATTTTAACACAACAGCATGCAAAGTTGAGATTATATATTGCTGAACTTTTAATATTTTAAAGTATCATTTGCTTTCTCAAGTGGGTAACCGTATGAGAAATTTTTCTCTCTATCTTTGAACCAAAACCAGAGAAATGCAGAGGCAAATGGAAATCCAGCTTCTCTTGAGTCTCTCAGCTTTTTTTTTCCCCAGTTAATTCTGGGAAAATTGGCATCATTTACGCAAACCTAGACTTTTTATTTTAAAATCTTAACACTAAAAGTATCTCAGTTTCGAAGTCCTCAGTAAATTTTGGAAGAGAAAGATGGAGCATAAGCTGATTTTCTAAAGTTGTCCTTTGACTTGTGCTTTGGCATATGCACAATTGTCCATCATACTTCAAAAAAAATTAAAAATTCTCCATCATACTTCAGTAAAATAAAATATAAATGGGCCTGAGGTCAGAAGACACTATAACTGATGGTTTAGAAATTGGGAGCAGCTTCTTTAGAGCTGTGCTCAAATCATTGCAGCTAATAAGCGATTAGGGACCATTAGCTGTGATCTTCTCCATCCAGTTGTAGAAGCTAGAATTTAGCACTCATTTTAAATAAAGTCTGAGCTTTAGTGTGGTGATAAAATATGTCTTAATGTGTTCAAGCACCTTTGGACAACTTCTAGAATATTCAATGAGAGTTTGCCAATGTAAGAAAGGAAAAAAAAAAGTAAGTTTCAGTGAAATGAGTAACACCTACCTAGAGAGAAATACAGATGTTATTAATGCTGAAGGATACAAGTGTCAGAGTGCCCCTTATGAAATGGGTAGGAAGGTGTGGGACAGCAGGAGAGTATCTTGTGTTACATGGAGAGTAAGGAAAGAAGCTTAGCGCCTACAGGGAGAGAAAGGGAACGCTTACAGATAAAAGTTGTAGAATGCCTCCTTTGAAACAGGGTTTGGAGCAACATGGAACCATGAAAAGTGTGTAATTATAGGAAGAGTAAACAGACAGACTTGGTCCTTGATGTGCTGGGCATGCTTCACAGTTTGCTACGCTCAGTGGTTGTCTTTATGTGACATTATGTGAAAGATACAATTTCTAGAGTTATAGAAATGAGCCCTAAAAACTTTTATTGATTATGGTATGGGTCAGTCTGGGGTCTTTATTATTTTCTCTTGCTTTCTAGGTTGACAGTTTGGAGAATTCTGTCTTCTGACTGGTCCCTGTAGCTGTTAAACATTCTAGAAATTAGGTTGTCTTGGAAAAATCAAGTGTCCTTATTTGCATGTTTCTTACATTTGAAAGTAACTTGTTTAATATTTAATCTTCAGTTTCTACCATAATACTTGGCCTGTGTGACTGGAACTCAGTTCGATATTTAGCTGAACTCCCAGATCTTATCAATGCTGTTTTTGTTATTGTTAAGTGGGGCATACTCTTATACCTCGAGTTATAATAAGAGTTAAGGCTGTTAGACCAGAATAAACTTCATTCTTTGCACTAAATTTCTTCAGGACCTCATTAGAATTTTCAGAATGTGCCCTAGTTTGAACAGACACTAGCCTTGTCCGGGGCTTTCTACAGAGGCGGAAGTGCTCTGTGTCTGTCATCTGCTGCACAGCCGCATGTGGCTGTTAAGCATTTGGGAGGTGATTAGAAGAACTGAGGAATACATTTTTGTTAATTTTACTTAATCTAAATTTAAATAACTACATGTGGCTAGTGATTATTACTACATTGAGCTATTCAGATTTTTTTTTTTGCTAACAAGGTTAGCATTTATTGTGTGTTTTGTGATTTATAATGGGCTTTGTGAGTTAGCTTTGACCCTTCTCCTTTTTAACTATTTCACAGGTTATCATGATTGCTAAGGCTATCAGATACAGTGATAAATTAAATGATGAATTGAGATGCATGGTGAGAATGCATATAATTTAAAGATTAACTAGATACTATAGGCAAGGTCATTTAAAAAACAAGACAAATCCAGTCCAATTATTTAGATCAGTTCCTGACGTTAAGAGCTCATTTAACACGTATGTAAACTATGGGAGCTGAGGGAAGAAATAGATATAGTCTGTATTTAAATGGAGTATGTGTTGTCATGGGACTGGATGGGAATGACACTTTAGAAATCCTCTTCAAAGTAAATAATGAGCAGCTAAGGAAGGGAAGATAGGAGAATTGTCCCATTGTGAGGCTCTGTATTGAGGCTGTCTCAGAAAACCAAAACCAACCAAACAAACAAACAAACTGAAAACAAAAACTCAAAGTGAACGATAAACCAATCTGTCATACCTACTTATATCTAAAGAGCAAGCACAACTCAATGTATAACCCATGCGATTCCAAACCCCTATTCCCCCCCCCCCCCCCCACACACACACACACACACTGCTCTCCATCAGACCAGGGCCTTGCAAAAGCCAGGCCAGGACTGTGCCAGTGAGCCACATCCTTAACCCTCGGCGTCTGTGCTGATAAACAGATTCCTCAGTTAGAGATGAGTCTGAAAAAGATTGAGGTTATATGCCTCTAGTTTAGTCCCTCAGCTTTGGTGCATTTGTCATATCGGACTGATTGGTTAATAGCTGCATATAAAATGTTAGCAAATAACTGACTTCTGCACTTGCACCCTTTAGTTGTGTTCAGAAATGTTTTAAAACCTAATCTCCCTCTAAGGAAGTGGTAGCAAAATGACCACAAGTTGAGAACCACTTTTCTAAATATACCCTAATTATACATAGATACTTGATATACTGATAGAAATACCTAAGCTATAAATTGAATAATTACCTGCTTTCTGTCCTTTGACAAGAGCGTTTAGCTAGTAAGATAGTGGCAGTGTGAGAGCCTAGGTGTGCTGAGATAAAAGACCTAACTTCACGTTTCTATTGTCTCGTAGTTAGTGCCCTTGTCAAAGGATGGTCAGAATTTACTTTTGACTCAGACTGTGAAGTGCCTGTTCTCTAGCAGTGTGTTGGGCTAGAAATTTTAAACGATTCTCTTGTTTCTACAAAGTACCCAGCTTGTGGATAAAGTGTACATGTAATTTTATTTCAGAGTTTCCAAAAGCTGTAAGGGAACCCGGCTTCCCCAAAGAGCAAATGAGAGAGAAAGTCGATGAAGGAACCGGTTAAATGAGAAGGGGGGAGCTCTAGGACGAGGCAAGGGCAGTGCCAGGTCCCGTGATCAGGACCACTGCCGTAGACTTCTGCCTTGGGAGTGTCCTGCTGTTGCCTTCTAGTGTTTGTCGATCTTGGATAACTTGCCTAACTTCTTGTTCTTCAGGTTCTGTTTTTCTAAAGAAGGAGGTGATAATGTCTACATATGTACCTCTATAGAATTAAATAAAATTTAGTTATTAGACTGTCTCAGCTACACATATAGTTGTACACCTCAGTCTTTTTGGAAACAGAAGCTGAATTTTCGTCATGTCAATTTTAGATTCCTAGGCAAAAACTGCTGAAGTGTGGGTATGCCAGAATTAATAGTTTACTTGTGGGAAAGGGAATAAATAAAATGAAAAGAGCTCTA